CAGAAGAAAGGCTTAAGTCGGCCATTACAAAATCATGTATCTCACTTGGATACTCTCTTCTAACTATACTCTAAGAGAATTAAAATTGCAACTAAGCTTAGCTAAACTATGAGCTACCCGATTTCCATCTCTCTTCACAAAGGCATAAGTACAAGAATGGCAGGAACTAGAAAGCAGAAGAATGGCAGGAACTATGATACACCTTGAGGTTGTCAGTTTCCAGACACACCTTCAAAAAGCCCGACTCCATAGTAATCACTAAAGAGTGTCTCAAAGCCATAGCCTCGGCCACATCCACAACAAATTTGCCTTCAATCTGTAAGCAAGTGGCTGCAACAACATCCCCCACATCATCCCGTATTACCCCTCCTAAACCCACCATATTTGAAGTGAAAATGACAGCGTCAGAGTTTAATTACCTTGACAAAACCAGGAGGAGCAGCTTTCCAGCGGCATTCCAGAACTTCGGCATTGGCATTTTTGCACTCTTGCTCTTTTGCATTCTCAAATTCTCCTACAGTGCTAATAGCTTTATAAATAACATCGGCCATATCTTTCTTCTTGCCATCATAAACCCAAGCGTTCCTGCGTAACCAAATCCCCCACACCAAGCTCCAGAAAATGTTCCACCAACAGTGGTCCTTAAACGTCACTCTCACCTTGCCACACCACTCAACAAAGTTGTTGCCTTCAAAATTCTCTACTTCCAACCTCAAAGGAGAGAGATACCACATCAATTTTGCCTCATTACAAGACACCAGCATATGCAAAATTGATATTGCGAATCACCACGCATAGGACATGTAAAATCCACAATCATACCCCGTCTAATCAGAGTTGCCTGAGCTGCAACAGCCCCCCTCACTACACGTCAACAAAAATTTTTAATCTTAGGGGGCATGTCAGCATTCCATATACAATTCCAGTCAAAGGCAACCATAGCCGAAGAGGTAGTAGCTGTCTCTCAATCACTCTCCATAATAAGCAAATTGTACGCGCTCTTAACAGAAAATCTTCCAGCCTTAGTCCAATGCCAAGTCCATGAATCCGGACTGTCAAAGAGGGGGATGGGAATATTGTTGCAAATTTCCTGCACTTCCAACGGTGAGAAGATGGAATTGAGAGTATGCAAATTCCACCTTCTCTTATCTATTAACTTTCAATATCAGCTTATGACAATGCGTAGGTAGCAATGGCCCCTTCTCCTGCAACGCCAAGCACTCCTTGTTTTCCAGGGAGTATTGACTAGATATTGGAAAACCAGCTGCATGATGGTTTTTGGGGTGTTCTTGATCATCGAGATAGCTCTCTAGTCAAAGACTCGCTTTCTTCCACACTAGCTTGTGTCCTCGCGCTCAAAAGATGGTCTGTAGGAGAAGAACAGACGACAAAGGGTAAACTCTTAGGGACTTGCTGCATGAATTTCTTAGAGGAAGAAACTGATTTTTTTTTCCCTTAGGCAGGCCTTGACTTTATTGTGTCACATTTTTCTTCGGCAATGGATGAAGAGCAGCATTCTCCGATTGGATTTGATGTCATTTTTCCTAGTATGATTGAGAAGGCTCTTAATATGGAAGTGAATGAGTCTTCATTTGGCGCCTTCAGATATTGATGCTGTGCTTCGAAAGAAGGATTTAGATCCCAAAAGGTATACTGTTTCATTCCAGTTCTCTTATTTATATCCGTGATTCTTGTGATGTTTACACTTTACAGTTCTCATTTAAGAGCTGTCAGAATCCATGCAAGTGCAGCTTATACTGGATGATGAAGTTCTGTTCTTTCAGAACAAAAACATAACATTTCTTTGTATTATTGTTAGAATCCGTTGAAAGGACTCTAAGGCAAGGAATTTATTTTTGGCATATATTTCGGAAGCAATGGGAGGATCACAAGACCGGAAAATGGTAATGGATTATCAAAGGAAGAATGGCTCTTTGCTTAATTCACCATCCACAACAGCAGCTGCTTTTTCTGCGCTCCAAGATCCAAATTATTACAGCTATCTGTCTTCAGTCTTGCAGAAATTTGCAAATGCAGGTAACCTGCTTATTTCTGCTATCTCTACTGTATTAACATTTATGTATTATGCTTAAATTTTACGGTCTTTCTTTATTTTCAGTCCCAACTGCATACCCACTTGATGCATATTTCCGGCTTCATATGGTTGACACCCTTCAAAAATTTGGAATCAATGGGCATTTTAAAGAAGAGATTTCTTCCGCGTTGAATGAAACTTTCAGGTAAGATTTGAGCATGTAGTATACGTGTTGATCAAATAACATTTGATGAAAGTATGGAGTATATCATTAAAGTTAGTTCTAGTTGGTATATTATATAATCTGTGAACTTATTGTCAATGGGAAGACTGTGGGAGCAAGGAAATGAAGAGATATTTTCTGATGTCATTACCACTAGAATGGCATTTCGGTTGCTACGTGATGATGGATATGATGTATCTTCAGGTGTGTTTTTATACTTATCATTAACCTGGTGTTTGATCTCAATGGTAATAAGATATTCTATGTATGATTTTGGTGGTGAAAATATATTCTAGTTCTTGAATGAACATGCATATATATGTTTGAATAGATCTGTTGGCTGAAGTCCATGATGAAAACTGCTGTTTTCACCAATTCGGAGGACACTCGGAGAACATTAGATCTGCTTTGGAACTTTTTAGGGCATCTCAACTTAGAATATATGCTCACGAATCTTATCTAGAGAAGCAAGCAACAAATTCAAGGTACTTTCTTGAAGGGAGAATCTCTAAACATTCAACAAAAGCAGACAGGTTCAGAAAAAATCTTATCCAAGAGGTAATATGTTCATAAATACATGCCTTTTCTAAAGAACACTCAGAGGGCATCTCTTAGGCTCACCTTTCTGTTTCACAGGTTGCTGACAGCCTAAAGAGCCCTTACCATGCAAATTTAGAGCGCTTGCAAAGCAGAAAATTCATTGAACAAAATAACTTGGATGAAATAAGGATTTTGAAGTCTTCTTTAAGGTAGCAGTAGTCTGATAAATTTCCGAACTTGTATCATGTTTGACTCATAATATTTTCGTTTGTAATTTCCTATCTGTTCTCAAGTGTTCATGATAACACACTTCATATCTCAGCTGCACTAACTTCTGCAATAAAGTTTTCCTACAACTACCAAAGGATGATTTTAGCTATTGCCAATCCATACATTTCCAGGAATTTAAACAACTTCAGAGGTATACTGCCCTAACTTCTTTTACACTTGTAATGTAGCTTTCTTATGTTCTCAACTTCTCATAAAGCGCTCCAAAATTGTTTTCCATGTGAAAGCAGATGGCTTGCAGAGTGTAAATTGGACCAGTTAGCCTTTTCTAGGCAGAAGCTTAGCTACTGCTACTTTTGGGCTGCTGAAAGCTTTTCCTCCCCTGAACTAGCTGATGCACGCATTTCATGGGCAAAGAACGGCGTTCTGACTACTGTGATTGATGACTTCTTTGATGTTGGCAGCTCAGAAGAGGAGCAACTAAATCTTATTCAGTTGTTTGACAAGTATGTGTTCTTACCCCACTTCTCCCTAAACGCACAAGCCACAACTCCTTCTCCCCCTAAATTGCGTCGTGTGATTGAAAACCAGCTGAAATTGGCAGGTGGGATGCAGGTAAGAGTATCCAAACCTGTTCGGAGAATGTTCACGTTATATTCTCAGCGGTCCAGGACACAATTTATGCAATTGCTGAAAAAGCATGTACTTGGCAAGATCGTAACATAACTAATCATTTGGTTGAGATTGTAAGCTTTCTTATTTTCTTTGTTCTTCTTCCATAATATGCAAGCCATGAGATGGGGTAATATTTAATCTGTTCCTTGGGACTGATTGTGTGACAGTGGTTGAGCCTCATAAAGTCAATGTGGAAAGAATCAGAGATGGCGAGGAACAAGTCAGTGCCTACAGAGGAAGAATACATGGACAATGGCTACATATCTTTTGCCTTGCGGTTAATCGTTCTTCCAGCTCTGTATTTCATCGGTCCCAAGCTATCTGAGGAGGTTATTAGAAGTAATGAGTACCATAATCTATTCAAGTTGATGAGCACTTGCGGCCGCCTCCTTCACAATTATCAAGGCTTTCAGGTAAGTCACTTTAGTCATACTCACCTCCAAACAAGATTAGTTTGGTTGCTTTTATTTAGGTTCTGTTTGGTTTGATGTAAAACATATTTAATGAAAAATTAGTTTTCATGGAAAACATATATCCGAGGAAAACCACAATTGCATACTAGCTTTCCTGGATGAGAGAAGGAAGGAATATCATTTTCCATGAAAACATTTTTATATCAAACCAAACACACCCTTAGAAGAAGATTTAATATCTTGGTTGTTGCCTCAGAGAGAAGCAGAGGAAGGGAAGCTAAACGCAGTGTCCTTACACATGCTTTGCGAAAATGGAACTATAAGCAAAGAAGATGCTATTAGAGAAATAAGACAGACAATTGAAGACAAAAGAAGAGAGCTGCTGAGAATAGTATTGCGAGGCGATGTAGGTGTAGTTCCAAAAGTTTGCAGGGAAGTGTTCGGAAAACTAGCACGGTGCTGCACTTTTTCTACATGAAGGATGATGGGTTTACTTCTGATGATATGAAAGGTGTTGTAAAAGCAGTTCTCCATGACCCCATTGATTAAGCGTAAAAATACAGTATTATTTCCTTTGAGAAAGCAAAATAAGGGGAAGAATCAAGAAAAGAATTCTTTCAGATTTTTGTATTGATTATTAAGTGAGATTTTGGTTTTATTTTTGAAACCTCAAAAGCAAAGCTATAGATCATATTCCCTTAAGTCATTGGTACTTGATAAAAGAATGCTAATAGATTAAGTCATTGAAACCTAAAAGGCATGATTACCCAAAAATATGACAAAAAAAGGAAATCATATTATACAAATATTCTTTTATAAGATTTTGGCAAGAAAATATTCTTTGCTACTACGTATATATGATAATGCAGTTGTCAAGGCAAGATCAAGAACAAAAAATAAAGTAGTAGCACAATAGTTACAACAGTGAAAGTTCACGGTGTTTCCAAGCTTAACATTATTAACAATAAACAAGATACACATAAATACTTATTACTTTAAATACTTCTTCTTTCTTATCTCATACCACTGTAAGCGCCCATCTAAATTACACGATACACCAGAGATCACAAAGAAATGGACCATTAGTCTTCCATCTCTCCACTAAATCGAAAGTTTGTTCTTAACCAACTCCACCTCATAGGTCTTCAAAAGTGCATCCTTCTTTGCCAGTTCAGAATATAGCCTGCTGAGTTCTTCCTCTTGAGCTGCAACAAAAAACACACTATTATCAATAACACATTCAGAATAAAACTTGCGAAGTAGAGAGTTAAGCCATGTTCGTTTCAACTGTACCGAATGGAGTTGAAAATTAAGGACAAAAGAATAGGAGAACACGATATTAGTACTCTACCTGCCAAAACCTTCTTAAGGTTGCCAACCTCCTCAACATCACCAACACGGACATTGTTCTTTGTTTTAGATTCCTTTGACGCATCCTTGTCAACCTGAAGACGGTTACCCTGCTGGGTCGCAGCCATATGAAAGAGCTCATTCTTTTTAGTCCTCCTGCTGCTTTCCTGCTTTTTGTTTGGCACCACTCTATTCCAGGCTGCATTATAAGATACGCCAGATAAGATTTACTCAAGACCACCAAACATGATTGTAATTATAAATTTAACAATTGTATATGCACCAATCTTTGGTTGATTGATATATGCACCAATCTTCAGTAGAAGTATAAGTTTAATATACCCCATGGACAGTGAATATGAAGAGGAGAAAACAAACTGTTCAACAGCAACTAATAACACAAATGTAAACAAGAATAATGAGAGAGGGCCTCAAGCTATGTAGTAATCAATAACAAACAATTTCATTCAATAAACACCATTAACACCTTATTATGTAGCACAATCATGCTTAAGTGAACAGATGGAATACAAAATTTAAGGGAAAAAAAATAACGATTTACAATTTATAAACTACTTTAATGCCCCTGACTTTTTAACATGGTAATTTAATGATATTAGGCATCCAAAGAGATTCTTAGTTTCTTACCCTTGAGATAAAAATATTTAAATGGATTTTGTCACTACAGATGTTTCAAAGGTACCCGGTTTGGCTGAATCCCCCATGTACTCATGTCAAGGTGTAAAACAGAGGAAAGAGGGAGCCAAGTGAAGGAAAGAGAGGTAAAATACTAAAAGGTATAAAAAGACTAACAGCGATAGCTATTTTGTTAGAGTAAGGACATATGAGGGAATTGGTCAAAGTTCATGGGTACCTAAGGCAATTCCTAAAATTCGGGGGTATATGGGGGATTAGGCCAAACCCCAGGGGTAGTTGAGGAAAAATCCCTTTTATCTTCCTTTTTTTCCCTCTTTTTCTAAAAATACCTTTAAAAATTATTTCGTCATAACTACCTTGGTTTAAGCCAGTCAAAGAAAGAGAGAGGGTGAAATTCAAAATCACTTACTTCACACCCCATGGTGAAAGGGGAAGGGGTTGGAAAGATTCATCTTTCCTTCCCCTACCTTTCCCTCCACGTTGCTATAAATGCTATCCAACCATAGTGTATGTAATTCATGCAATAGCAATTAAAAAATCTTAATCTGAACACAAATCAGCAATTCAATTGCAAAACCATACATATTGACTGCAGTATTGAACACATTTGACATCTCAGAAGTCAGAACAGCAATAATAATAGCAATGCACAGCAGCACAGGCAGATCATGCTTCTAGCACAGCTATCAGAAGATATCATGTTGAAAGGCCTATCAATGCATAAACTCATATCATTACTTATCACAATGTACATGACAGAGTAACCAGACAGCTTCTGATTCTTGCTGAGTGAGTAGTTCGTAGTTGAACTGTGCTCAACACAACGTGATCTATACTCGCCAAGTTCGATAACCTCTAGCTCAAAAACGTGCTTGTCAAATTGGGCAATTGCTCGTCTCAAACTCGTTATATGAATTGGTGAGCCCAAACATAAAAAAACCCATTTGAAGTTTTGTTCAATTACAAAAAGTTCTTTCATAGTCCAGCAAAGCTCAAGTATTCAAGTCCATGCAACCAAGGCTCATACTAAGGTCCTTACTGCTTAGATATTAAAAATCTGATAGTGTAAATTTAGATTTAAAAAAAAAAAAAAAAAAAAACACGAATTCAAAGATAAGCTGGCAACTTTTTACAGACTACAACTAAAGCCATCGCAGCTACATATTAAAGAAAGCAATCTTCTTTTGCCTCATGCAATCCACCAGTCAGACCACATTAATTTTTAAGACAACAAAGGGAGAAAAGACAAAACTTACATTCCGGGACATCACCAAGAACGCAGGAGCGGATGCAATGTGCAAAGTTACGGAACGGGGTGTGGATTCTATAGATCAACGAGGATACAAGACAGCTTTCATTAATATTGATATTTTCCCCTTGGGGCTTCTTAAAGATCATGATCCCTACAAAACGAGTGTAGTAATCAACCTTTTGGCATTTCAAGTTTATATCTTGGGCAGTGACAAGATAGCAGAAGTAAGGGCCCCCAAGTGGAGGAGAAGTCGCCAAGGATCAAAATTTTTATGTGTGAAGAAGGTATTGTCTTCGCCGGCTAATTCGGCAGCTGTAGACATGACCTGCGCTTTCCCAGGTTGTAAAGAGGCGCTCTTGGGAATATCTTTGCTGCTACTACCAAAACCATCATGTTTGGGAAAGGGGCCTCTCCTAACAATCTGTAGAGCACTAGGAACATAGTGAGGATCCCAAACTGGACCTGGTCTCTTCCAAAGATCTCCTCCCCTTAGGTGGTAGAGGAAGCCATCGACATAAAGCGCACCATAAGGGAAACAATCAGCCAGAGATGCAGATGGCGGTTCAGCCCACTCTAACGTATCCAAGTTAAAAATGGCATACATCCAATTACTCCCTATGAAGACCTCACGACCCACAACCGTGACACGACCAGTCCAATCAGCTGTAAAAAGGTCAACCCGCGGGGGGTCAGGAAGGACTTCCCACCTGTCAATACGAGGAATATAACGCTCGAAACAACCTGACTTGCCGGATGCTTCTTTTCTCTCGGCCTTCCCAAGCGTGTAGATCATACCATCAGCCACAAACACACAAAGACATTCCTTGGAGGCATTCAGGGAAGCAACCCGGCGCAGCCCATGCTTAGGATTGTACATGTCAAGGACATGTACAGCTCTATATAGGTGGTCGTCAAGCTTATCAGATCTAACACCTCCAAAGATGTATACTTTCGATCCAAGGTTAACGAATTCAGTCTGGTACAGAAACTTACGCTGAGGGAAGACTACCAAGGGTGACAACTCTTGAAACCCCTCAGAATCAACCTCCCTTTGCCGCTCCAGATCACTTGGTAGGTCAATCGTATACAGCGCATGAGGCATCTCACCAGTTCCATGCTCCACTAGTAGGCAAATTTTTAGTTGCGATTCATTAATTTTTGATGCCATCATCACCTGAAGATATTAATAATTTTATTGGCCAATTCAAAAATTACATTGGTAAATTATTGATGAAGATGCTAAAAATCAAATAATGAATCAGATTACAAAGAAACTACATTAATTTAGTTGAATTAGTAGATCAAATTAGAAAGAATGCAACTAAATTACTAATTGTAATGCTAAAATTAAATTCTTAAAAGAAAGCAACTGCATTAATCAATGATTATCGTACGATTAACTTATTAATTGAAACTAAAATGAAAGCAACACAATGAATGAAAATAAGCAGAGGGCAGAAGGGGCGGCCACCCAGGGCTCACGAAGAAGAGGTCTAATTTCATAGTTCAATCCTAACATTAAAGCAACCAGATTTGATTCAATTATCAAACAAACATAATTTCAGGGATATGTGAATCAATGAGGCTCGTAATTTCCTTTTCTAGCAACATAGTCGCTTGTAATGATCTTTCATAATCTTTGTATTTAGAACCAATAGTTGAGATTTTCGAACCCTAAATTTAGGGCACTGACATAAATTAAATAAGATCAAAGATGAACCCTAGATTATGAAATTGATATGATTACTAAAAGAGACAATTTACGAAGCTGCTGAGAACAAATAGTTTGTAATGACGAACGTCAGGTGCGACGTTGAGTACGCTTCAACGAGGAGGCACCAGACAGGGACACAGCCACACAGGGCTATGTTCATCCGTTTATATTTCTATTTTCCTTATTGACAGTCTGACAGAGCAATTAATTCAATGGGTTAATAAAAGCCCTAACTTACCCCAGTTTGTTTCAATAATAAAATAAAATATAAAAAACTTGCCCTAGTTATAAATGAGTTAGATCCATCCAATAAATAAATGGGTCGAGCTTTATAATGATTTAAAATTAAAAATTACGGCTATTTCACCAAATGTCATTGAGCAATTGCAAAATTCACCAGATACCATCGCGTTTTTCAGAATTCATCAAATGCCACCGAGTTTTAAAAAAATTCACCAAATGTCATTAATGACTGACGGCCATTAGTTGACCGTTAGTTGACCCACCACTTGCCACGTGTCACCTTCTGATTGGTCCTTTTTTAAAAAAAAAACCAAAATTTTTTTAAAAAAAACAAAAATATTTTTTTAAAATTTAAAAAATTAATAATAAAAAAAAACCACCAAATCCCCACCCACCACCCCTTCTACCCTCACACCCACCCCACCCTAAACCCCTCCCTGCCGCCAAAGACCGAAGCCCCTGCCGCCGCCGGCCCTGCCCCTTCTTCATTCCCTCTCCGTCATCTATCCACCACCAAAACGCAACAGCAACAATTGACAGCAGCTAACACAAATCAACCACCACCTATCCAAACCCCACGCAGCAGCCCTTACACCGCCACCCACATCACCAATCGACATTAACAACAACATACAACATCTTCGCAAGCCACCCACAATCAGCACCGCCTGCCTCCAATTCCAACCATCGGCAACAATTATGACCCTTCGTCCTACCACTTTCAGCCACCACAACAATAATAAACCGCAACCTACACTGCCCCAACAACTCCTTCACGCAGCCAAAAACCTCCCCTGCTTTTCCCCCTTCTCCTTCGCATCAATCTCTGCCGCAGCAGCTGCTCCACAACTACGGGTCGCAGCCCTCCTCACCGTCGCACACAGCAACAACAATCAGCCGACATCCACCAAATACTGGCATCGGAGTCAAGGGGGGTGGGGTTTCGGGGTAGTGGAGGTTGTTTCGCGGCCGGTGGTTAGGTTGTTTCTTGGACATCGTGGCTCATGGGAAAGGGAGTAGCGCCGATAGGTGGTATTCTGGTCGAATTCCGCACTGGCGCGGGGTTCTGGTCGGATTTACGCTCCGGCAAATGGTGGCTGGCTAGGGTTTTGTGGGTGGGCTGGTGGCTGTCGGGGTTTGGGGTTTGTGGGTTTTTTTATTTATTTTTATTTTTTGTAAAAATATTTTTGGTTTTTTTAATTTTATTTATTTATTTTTTTATTTTAAAAAACAGACCAATCAGAAGGTGACATGTGGCAAGTTAAGGGGTCAACTAACGGCTGTCAGTCATTCATGGCATTTGGTGAATTTTTTTAAAACTCGGTGGCATTTGGTGAATTCTGAAAAATGCGATGGCATTTGGTGAATTTTGCAATTGCTCAGTGGCATTTGGTGAAATAGCCGTAAAAATAAACCTATATATTAATCACATTAGCAAAAAGTATGTTGAGATGTGAGGGTAATATCAAAATTCAAACCGCTTTATTTTCATCAATAACTGTAACTATAACTCTAATATTAACTGTTTAGGGTAAAAATACCCTGTCCACGTGGCCCAATCATGTGCTAACACGTGTCAGCATCAGAGGGGTCCTGAGAGAACCAATCCTCTAGCGACACGTGGCACTCTAGCATGTGAAAGGGGAATTGATCCCCTCTCACTATAAATAGAGGAAAATCCTCATTTAGTATTCATTCATAAATATACACACAAAAACCGAGCAATATTAATTGCAGAATTCTCTCGGAATCTGAGAGAAAAACCTTTATATTCCGCACTTCAATACATCCGGAAACGTTCTAACTTGATCGTCAGAGGCGGAACTCCACCCAACCGGAGTTTCCATGGTTTTGCAGGTACGGACAGTCGACGCGCATTCTCGGAATCGTAACTCTCCCGATGGACTCCAAAAACCCCGAAACAATAACTATATAATAATAATAACTTAACTTTTATACTAAAAGACACACCAGCAATGACACGTATCATCTTCTGGTGTGTCCTTAGTTTTTTTTTTTTTTTTTTTTGAAACAAAATAAATTTACTTAAAAATACAAATCTTTTTAAATATATAAATTATTAATTTCCTACAAAGTATAATAGAAGATTTTATTGAATCTTACCGAAATAAAACATATTGAAAACTATAAACTTTAGCAAAAAAATTAAAAGTAATATTCTTAACATAATTTGTTATGGCTTTTTGTTTAAAGAAAGAAATATTATGTACTATATACGTTTATTACAACTAGATTATATAATTTTTTCTAGATTATTTTTAAATATGTAATATAAGTAACAAGTTTAAACAATGAAATGCGAATATCAAATCATCAAATGATGCTTTTTTTATTTCCTTGAATAATTTATAATTATTAGAATTTCAATCGATTAGTACTCTATGAATACTTCAATAATACTTGCTTTTCAAGAACGACACATGTTATTATCTTAGTGTGATTTATCCTACCATTTTTGTTGATTTTTAACATTCAATTGATATGATTATAACGAAAGTCAAAAAATATAATATAGTGTAAATTTTATAGATAGTTATTGAAAATTACCATGCGTGGCACGGGACCTAACCTAGTTCTCCAATTAAATATGAGTTCGACTTGTTTTTCTTTTTTCAATATATTATAAATCATATTTCTATGATTCTTCTCTAATTAAATTGAAGGACACGGAACACCCCGAAACACATATCATTTTTAAGATTCATAAGTCACCAAACATAGTAACATACTAGTTACCAAACTAATCGATGCTAAACAAAAAATTAAAAACCCCATATATTATGACCTTATCAATACTTCAAAGGTTCATAATAAACAAGCAAATTGAACATATCATTTTACATTTTTACTTGGTATTTATTTTTTATAAAGCTGGTTAAACACAGAGAACCAAACTACCCAAGGAAATTCTTCACTAGAAGAGATTTGATTTATCACAAGCAACAAAACTCAAACATAATATAGTTCATAATAGCCAAAGCCAAAAATAGAGCTCCTAATAGGTTAAATAGCAGTAAATAAAAATCACATACCAACAATGACAAAGAATAGCATAACTGAAAATTCAAGTACTTGATCATTCAACATTACATATAATAGAAGTAAAATTTTGATTGGAGAATTATAAAATAACTATCAAGCGTTCATAATTTACCTAATTAATAGTGAAGAAGATAGCCAAAGGTACCGGTCCGCTAGTCATACCGACTACCACCACGAGTCCACAACGCACGACACCAGTAACTGCT